AAACCAGGAATACAAAATAGGGAGGAAATAAAACAATACCAATTACATGCGTTGCACAGCATTCTAATAGAAAGAGGTGATCAGCTGTCTTACCGATAGTCGACACAGAAGCAATTGGAGAATCCTACCTATTATATTGGAAATCAGACGACTTGCTTCCTTCCTGGGACATTAGTGATTCCCCTCCAATCGATAGCTCAGAAAGAAGGAAAAGGGATTACTTCTTACTCATCTCAGATGCGGCTAATCGACTGATGATCTTATCAACTTACTCGGTATATGGAGAAAGTCATCAACAGACTTGTCTTGACGCTGCTTGGCTTCCGTCAATTCTCTTACGCCTACGCACTAAAGGCAAAAGGATGTTTATCTGTACTTGCTCTATCTTACGTCCTTTGACTTCACTCCGCTACGCACCTTCAAACAGCCTAGTTGTCCTAAGAGCGGATTCATCCCCAGATGGGCAAGGGAAAGCCTAAACCTTACTCCGCCAAGCCCTTCTTGCAAAGACCGGTAATGCCACATCTAAGAGAAGAAAGCATCGAATCCTCTCTTTGCTATAGTTAAGATATCCCCTGCTATATCTGCTGTTGAGAATCCTCTTCCAAGGAAGTCTTCTTTTTTTTCTTTCCCCCCAATCGTCTCTTGCAAGAGATGGGCTTTATAGAATCGGATGGCAAAGAGAAAGACTAACTAACACTCTCCATCCTTTCTTATATTATATACGCTACGCTATTTGCAGTGAAGTGCCTTATGCCGAAAATTGTCTTGCACATAATCGTCTTCATCCCATGCTGCTTGACGGAATGCCTTCTAGAACGAGAGTGAAGAAAGAAGGGCGGAGAATGTCTTTTTTCTCGATAGCCAGTCGCGCATTCTTCCTCTCTTACTTTCCCTTTCGCGGGTAAGTAGATAGTTGGTCCCTTCCCTGGCCCCGCAACCAAGAGTCACTCGTCGAAAGCTTGATTGACCAGGAAGACAAGCAATAGGAAAGAAATCCCAATAAGGAAAGCCATTAGCCAGCAGGCAAGTAGTACGGCCAAGACTCTAAATAAGAAGACTCGCCAAAGTCCAGCTTTAAACATCCGGAAAGAAGATCAAGCGAAAGCCCAGCGGCTAGAATTTCTATTGAACCTTTACAGCTACAGTGCCCAGATCGTTACGCCTTTCTTTCCTTTCGGACTAATAAAAGCAACCAAGACTTAGCAATGGCAATGGCGTCCTCTGCAAGCGTAGCAGTTGGTGGAAGGGGAAGAGGAGGTCGTATACAGTTGCTTCCACTTGCGGCTTTCTTCGACCGCCTTGCTTAGCTCAAGCACTAAGCAAGTAACCCCCCCCTCTCTTCTTCTCTTCAATGATGCCCAAAAGAAAATTACATCACATAACCCCTTCACTTCATCCGCATTAAAGTTTTCAAAAATCCTCTGGTTTTGTTCCATCCATACTACATACTACGCATGCAATAGTCATTAGACAACTATTACATATTACTTCTGCTCCTTCCCCCCCTCCAAAAGCAACTATCATAGAATATGCAAAATTGGGGAGTCACACATATCACATTTGCTTCCGAAAACAGTTTGTGCCAAAGCTTTAGAGTAATAGGGCAATGAAGAAAGATATATCTATACTTTCAGCTCCCATTCAGCACGTGGCCCACCAATATAGAGACATACCCCTGAGGATAATGTCGCAATACTAACTCTACAATGAGCATAATCTATCCCCAAACTTGAGCCTTATATGACACTTGTGCTTTCCAAATCATCTGAAGAGGATCGAAAATGGGAGGAGATGATTCGTTAATTAACTTCTAAAAAACAGTTTACACAAAAAACACATGGGATGACTCAAGTTATTATAACTTTTATCAATCTCCTCAATTCTAAGGACATATTTTTCAGTGGTTGTAATGAAGAAAGTTCCATAACCTCCAAATCATTCAAGTTTGTGCAGAAATTAAAGTTCCAACTTATTGCAAAAGAAGAATCAACAGACATATTGGCAATTGGAATGTTATATAGGTGACTTGAAAAATTTATGAAAAACATGGATAAAAGGAACATACAGAAAACTTCCCTATCCACAACTCCTCTTAGAACCTAATGTCCACCCCATTTCCCAACATTAACCAAAGTTAGGGATAAAAGAATTAATATCTGATGTAGGACAAAATATGGGTTAATTATGGTGTGAAAAATTAATTAAAATAAAGTGGCTCCAAGTTGGAAGGAAATCGTGCAAGAGAGAAAAGTTCCAATTAAATGTCAAATATGGCGCTAGGAAAAGAGGAAGGCGTATTGTTGAGATTTTCAAATTGATTGAGGAAGTTTGAAGCAATTATGTACTCTGTCAAGATTTATATTCACTTTAATGTTTTATTTTATATTTTTAAGAATAAGTTATCTATTAGGATATTATTTTCCTAATATATGATTTTAGCTAGGATTTTTATTATTTTCTTATTAGCCAAGTTTATGAATATTCTGGAACCCAAGGTTTCCTACGGTTTTCTATTTAAGCTAACTCGTGGCATTGTATTTGTGACAATTCAGTTTATTATCAATCAAATACCTTTGAGTTTTACTCAATTTTTTGGTGGATTCCGACATTGTTACTTTAGGGTATCGTTCGATCTCCCTATTCCCCTATATCTCGCTGCATCAATATCCTATGATGTCTTTCCAAGGACATCTACTCAAGCCTCTAACCACAATATCAGAGTCGCAACCATTAACATTTAGTCTGAATTTGCGTTATGGTTATATTTTTCTCCCAATCACATTCAGCAGAGATTACTAATAAAAGTAGACACAACTTTCCAGATAATTAGAGAGAGGAGGATAAGAAGTTATGATTACCTACAAAATAGCTGGCCAAAAGGTATCATCATTTGTCCAAGTTTTGACCATCTTCGAAGTCTGAATTGTTTATATTTGAAGGTTTATTCTTCTATATAATTAACATACTAGCATCCAATCAACCTTGTGCCTGCAAAACGCAACGGTTTAATGAGATGTATCCCATAATCAATAAGCCATAGTAAAAGCAGAAATTATTTCATTAAAAATAGGCCATCGTAAAAGCAGAATTAAAGTCGGTCCTTTCAGAGAACACTAGCTAGCATATTAGTAAAGTCTCTGACATCGTACCAAGAATTGGAATAGAATCCCGCCTTAACTGAGTTAGGGAATTTTTATGAAATGGATGAGAGCCTCTCGTCATCCAGCCCATATCAGATTTTGATCGTCTAGACTTTTGAATGTTAACGACAATAACTTAGAATCTAGCTGCTAAAATCTTTAAAAATTATATTTAAACAAATAATAAGTAAAATAAAAAAATCCTAGCTGCTGAATTGATGAATCCCTCAACCATTCAAGTTACAAACGTAGGTATAGAAGAATCCTCTAAAAATGCAACACATGAGCTGAGTTAGCGCAACTCTAAGTAGAATTCTTTTTATGCATTCCTCATGTGAGGATTGACTAGAGAAAACAAAGTAACTTCATCAATAGTTAAATACAACATTAGAAGGGAGAAAACACAGAAACTCATAGAATGGGGAAGGCATTTTAAGATACCTGAATTTTCCGTGTTGGTAATCATCCTTTTCTGTAAGTCCTCAGCAGCCTCAGTCATGCCTCGTGCATTGTAGGCTTGGATCATGGTAGCAAAGGTGATATGGTCAGGCAAACATTTTTTTTCTTTCATTGCCAAAAACAATTCGCTCACCTTTCTTACATCACCAGCCCGACCATAAGCACTAATAATACAGTTGAAGAAAGGCGTATCCAGTATAACATCCGAATTCTCTACTTGCCTCAAAATGGAATCAACTTTACTCATATTCCCAGCTTTGCTATACGCACTAACAAGAGAACAATAGGTGATGGAGTTAGGCTTCATTCCTTGATACTTCATTTTTCTAAAGTATTCGTCCATCTTCTCAACATTTCCAGCTTTCCCAAATACCTCAATTACAATATTATAAGTAACAACAGTTGGGGAGAAAAACCTTTTCTTCATAAACTCCATAACGGACCCCATCTTTTCGTACATTGTTGCTTTCCCATATGATTTAATCAGGATATTAAATGTCTTAGGGTCTGGCCTTATTCCCATCAGCTGAAATTCATCATACCACTTCTCCATCTTCTCTATCTGTCCACATTTCCCATAAGCCCCAAGAAAAGAATTTAATGTGAAAACATCAGGAAGGCAGCTGCCACTTTCAATCATGTCTGTCAACGAGTCCTCCATCAATTCAAACATTTCAGCCTTACCATAGCCATCAATTAGAGTATTGTATATGACTGTGTTGCATCCGATCCCCAGATATGACATCTCAGCCAGAATTTCTTCAATCAGATCAGGACGATTGAATTTGGTGCAGGAATTAATAAGAATAGAATATGTATATACATCTGGTTTGCAGTCAGAAACTGACTTCATATCATCGACAGTAGAGAACGCCTTGTCAAGGAGGCCATTTTTTCCATAAACACTAACAAGAGCAGTGAAGACGTCAACAGTAGGTGTTAGCCCATCACTTAACATGAGCTCGAAAAGCAAGCTGGCCTGCTCAGGTTGCCTGCACTTGCCAAGCATCATCAGCAGTTTAGTGTACGTTTGGCATCTCGGCTCATACCAGTGTTGCTTACGTAGTAGTCCAAAAATCTAAAGAAAGGAAGAGTTGTTTTATATCAGAAAAATTTGAAGACAGAACAAAAGGAAGAAATGAAGACTCGAAGAAATCCAGTGGCATACGGGTGGCATTCCAAACTAAGATGCTACAAATAGCACTTAAAATTTTTTTAGAGAATTATTTTGAAATGACCAAGGATTTTAGAATCTAACCATTTGCACAATTAATCAAAATGAAATTGTTGCTTCTTTGATAGAACAGCAATACTGGTCCTAAACGCCAGAAGCATGAAAGCACTGGAATATCAAGATTAGAAGGCAACAAAAAACTGCAGATATTAGCTTATTTCTCATCAAGATTCGCTAATTTACCAACAGCAATTTCAATTAAGCAAACTTTTCTTACATATGATCAGGAATCAATTGAGAAATTGAGCATGTAACAGACCCAGAAGCCTTAGTTCATAAGCAATAAATTTCCGCAAACCTAAAGAGTTCACTTCTTCTCCCCAACCCAGAAAGCCTCAGGCCACAACTAATCCTACTCCCACTGAATTAAAGCTGTCAACTTTTCATTTCAGAGAGGTTGTCCAACTTAATATCTCAATATTTTCAAACTTTTAATCTCATTATTAATTCCCCACTATTTCTAACAAAACAATAAAAAAGTAAAAAATAAATAAATAAACAGAGGCTGAACATAACTCCACAAACCCAGAAACCAACCAACCAAAAATCCAACATACTGATAAGACAAAACTCATGCCCAAAACACACAGAAGAAAATAAAAAAGACCCACAAACCTTAAGAGCACTCTCCCACAGATTGTTTGCAATAGCTTCATCCAGAGCCTCCAAAACAGCCTTGGGCCAAAGGTTATTGTACTTGTTGGAATTTGCTTTCCTCTCAATGTTTCTAACAGCAGCGTCTGTTCTCAGAAGTCGAGAAAGCTCCTTTTTGGCCTTCAAAGACGGGTCGGAGCTCCGTTTCGATAAATGAAGACAATGGATTGTTGGGTTTCGTTTATGGGCATGTTCACCGCAGAGTGTTATCGAATATGTGGCAGAGGTTAAGGAGGTTGAAGTTGAAAGGCGCAGGTTAGTGGGGTGAAGGAGGTGTGGCTCCATTATGCCGGTGGTCGTAGACAGTTCAGAGACTGTCGAGTGGATATGGAAGTGACTGGATGGGTTGCGGTTTAGTTCAGAGACTGTCGAGACACTTCAGAGGCGGACGGAGAGAAGCGCAAGCTAGAAGGGTCAAGTGGGCCTGAGTTTGGAATACAAATGAGTTGAAATTACACGTCGCCCTTCTTTCCTCATAGTTTTTGAACCACACGTATAACCTTATCTTTGGGCTAAGCAAGAGTTACTGATTTTTTATTTTTAATACAAGTGATATAGTCTTTTATTTTTTTGGAGCAAATGTACAAGTGATAGTCTAAACTACAGAGAATGAGTGTTTCTCACACACACAACTAAGATGCCATGTTGGAGGAAATGGGAAAAAAAGGGGACGTTGGGTGTGGGTAAGGATTGAGATTGAGAAATGCACATGATGCACAATTTTAGCATCCTTCCGAAAACATTGGTTAGGATTTAAAAGTTGGTAATGTTTTTTTTTTTTCATTCGGCAATTATAGGTCATAATTTAAATCGAGAAATTTTGTAATAAAGTGAAGACTATATGCCACTAGACTAAAAGGTCACGACAAAGAGACAGAAAAAAGGGAGAGTATATAAACTTCATTCTTGGTTTTTTTTTTTTTTTCATTCGGCAATTATAGGTCATAATTTAAATCGAGAAATTTTGTAATAAAGTGAAGACTATATGCCACTAGACTAAAAGGTCACGACAAAGAGACAGAAAAAAGGGAGAGTATATAAACTTCATTCTTGGTTTTTTTTTTTTTTTGTTCACTTGAGAAACAATTTAGCAGACCAAATTTAATGATTTAGTTAATTTTTTAGGGGTAAAAAAAATTGATATATTGGATTGATCTAGGATGGCAGGGCCGGTTCGGGGCCGAGTATGGCAATACCATCCCCAATAAGAATTTTTGGAGAATTCTCCCGTCGTCGTCCCCGTCAGGGTGTTGTCTCCCAAACCAACCCTAAATCCCCACTTTTTGTTTAAAAAATATATTACCTTACATTATAACATTTAAATTTTACTTTAAACAATCAATTAACTTAGTTATATTCAATTGAAATATAAAATTCAACTAAACTAATGAAAATCATCTCAATTTAATTTTAAAAAAACTTCATATTATCCGCACTAAAGCCATCTAAATATATAATTCAACTCAACTATCATGTAACTTTTTGTTTGTGCAAGAATTTTCGCCACCCCTAGCTTGACTTAATTTTTTCTTTGTGCAGGGATTCAACCCAATTTCTTCCCCCCCCAAAAAATCTTTCCCCGTTACAGCAAGACAACAATTGCAAAAGCTATATGGAATGCAATTGCCCACGAGTTTGAAGGAAGTTGTTTCTTAGAAAATGTTAGAGAAGGATGCTTAGTCCAGCTACAGAAGACTCTTCTTCATAAGTATCTAGGCAAAAAGTTGAAAATTCAAAGTGTTGAGGAAGGAATCGGTGTTATAAAAGAACGGCTGAGGTAGAGGGGTCAAACGAGAAGGACCGACCCAGCATGGCATGAGCCCAGCCTATTTAAAGGAGGCACGGCACAGCACGAGCACGAATATTAATGGGTCGTGCTTGGCACGACACGAAAACTTGGGTCGGGCCGAGGACAAAAAATGAGGTCCAATGGACCAGGCCGGCCCATGGCCCAACATGGGCCGAGCTTGGCCCGAGCTTGCTTTAAGCACAGCACGAGCCCCAGCTAGCTTCAAGCACAACCCACTAAACTTTTTTTTTTTCTCAAAAGTCAAAATGCAATAATTTGACATCTAATGCCATTGTTTATGTATTTTTTTTAAAAATTCATAAACATATATTTGATTGCTTTCATTTTAGGGAAATTACTTGGGTCCTTAATTAATTAAACAACATTGGACTTGATATCTAATCCGTACATATGACATATACGCTTCTCTTATAATCAAAGCAAGACATTTCTTCACATATAAAATAATAAGTTGTTTAAATATGAAGAGTTGAAGTGGACTTTGTGGAGTTAGACACTTTTTACCCTCTGCGCTTTCATATTATTTGGATGTTTGATTGATTAATGTTTTCAAATAGTTCATCATTTCTTGTCTCTAATTATATTTTTAATGTTTATAATTTGAATTATCTAGTGGGAAAAAAAAATCAAGTGAAAAAAAAAAAAATGGGACG